CACCATCATCAGGAATATAATAATACTTCTAGAATATTTATTACTTCAACATTTCAATAGTGGTTCTCACACCATCATCTGGAATATGATAATACTTCTAGAATATTATTACTTCAACATTTCAATATGGTTCTCACACCATCATCAGGAATATAATAATACTTCTAGAATATTATTACTTCAAAATTTCAATATGGTTCTCACACCATCATCAGGAATATAATAATACTTCTAGAATATTTATTACTTCAACGTTTCAATATGGTTCTCACACCATCATCAGGAATATAATAATACTTCTAGAATATTACTACTTCAAAATTTCAATGTGGTTCTCACACGTCATCAGGAATATAATAATACTTCTAGAATATTATTACTTCAACATTTCAATATGGTTCTCACACCATCATCAGGAATATAATAATACTTCTAGAATATTTATTACTTCAACATTTCAATATGGTTCTCACACCATCATCAGGAATATAATAATACTTCTAGAATATTTATTACTTCAACATTTCCATGTGGTTCTCACACCATCATCAGGAATATAATAATACTTCTAGAATATTTATTACTTCAACATTTCAATATGGTTCTCACACCGTCATCAGGAATATAATAATACTTCTAGAATATTTATTACTTCAACATTTCAATATGGTTCTCACACCATCATCAGGAATATAATAATACTTCTAGAATATTTATTACTTCAACATTTCAATATGGTTCTCACACCATCATCAGGAATATAATAATACTTCTAGAATATTATTACTTCAACATTTCAATATGGTTCTCACACCATCATCTGGAATATAATAATACTTCTAGAATATTTATTACTTCAACATTTCAATGTGGTTCTCACACCGTCATCAGGAATATAATAATACTTCTAGAATATTTATTACTTCAATGTTTCAATATGGTTCTCACACCATCATCTGGAATATAATAATACTTCTAGAATATTTATTACTTCAACATTTCAATATGGTTCTCACACCATCATCAGGAATATAATAATACTTTTAGAATATTTATTACTTCAAAATTTCAATATGGTTCTCACACCATCATCAGGAATATAATAATACTTTTAGAATATTTATTACTTCAAAATTTCAATATGGTTCTCACACCATCATCAGGAATATAATAATACTTCTAGAATATTATTACTTCAACATTTCAATATGGTTCTCACACCATCATCAGGAATATAATAATACTTCTAGAATATTTATTACTTCAACATTTCAATATGGTTCTCACACCATCATCAGGAATATAATAATACTTCTAGAATATTTATTACTTTCAACATTTCAATATGGTTCTCACACCATCATCAGGAATATAATAATACTTCTAGAATATTATTACTTCAACATTTCAATATGGTTCTCACACCATCATCAGGAATATAATAATACTTCTAGAATATTATTACTTCAACATTTCAATATGGTTCTCACACCATCATCAGGAATATAATAATACTTCTAGAATATTTATTACTTCAACATTTCAATATGGTTCTCACACCATCATCAGGAATATAATAATACTTCTAGAATATTTATTATTTCAACATTTCAATATGGTTCTCACACCATCATCAGGAATATAATAATACTTCTAGAATATTATTACTTCAACATTTCAATATGGTTC